TGGGCGGGGGGGGGTGTGGCAGGAGGAGAGGTAGAGGGTGGACAGAGAGGCCAAGAGGAGGAGGTACCTCTTATTTTTCCTCAAAGAGAGAATCATGAAGGTGGTTTTATTTATATATTTTTCCAATCATAAAAATATTGCTCCTGAAACAATGAGCAGACATTATTTTTTCAACAATTCAAACCATCTTTTCAGCGATTCAAACAACACACAAAAGCATAAAAAAGAAGGTAGAAAAATCCTGACCTTCCACCTGGGGATCTGGTTAACTAATAGCCCACAGGGCAGAGCCCTGAGCTAAGTCCTGGCTGAACCAGTTCCAGTCATGGACCCTGGGGACCCAGCTTCTTAGCACCATAGCTTCTTTATCTGGAAGGTAGAGAGCCATCAATCCTCCTCCCCTCCTCTCTGCCTACCCTCTGCCTCTCTCCCACCTGCCCCTACCTCTCTTCCCCTTGCCTCCAGGTCTAAGAACACTCTTTTAAGACACCGTGACCGGCTGGGCGGCAGTTCAGCCTGTAATCCCAGCACTTTGGGAGACCGAGGAGAGAGGATTGCCTGAGCCCGGGGGTTCATGACCAGCCCGGGCAACTTGGTGAGACCTCATCTCTTCAAGAAATCACAAAATAAGCCCGGTGTGGTAGCACATGCCTGTAGTTCCCGCCACTTGGAAGGCTGAGGCGGAAGGATTGCCTAAGCCCAGCAGGTCGAGGCTGCAGTGGCTGCACTCCAATCTGGGTGACAGAGTGAGACTCCGACTCAAAAAAAAAAGAGCATCGTGACTTGCCTGGGCCCCTGCCCTGTCCAGAAGCCATAAAGGGCACATCCCCCACACCCTGCTGTGGTCTGTTTGAACTTGGGATTCCAGGTTTGATCCGCACCTGCCACCTAGTATTATTGTGAGGATAGGTGAATAGACAAAAGGTCTTAGAACAGTGCCTGGCACATGGTAAGAGCCGTATGTGTGAATGCCAGCATCACCATCATCGATGTCACCACACCATTGTCATCATCTTTCCAGACAACTCTATGCACCAACCTGCCTGCCTTCTTCACTTTTTCTCATCACTTCCATCCAGCCCTCCACCCACCTACCCATCCACCTTTCCATCCACCCACCCACCTACTTATCCATCCATCCATCCACTCACCCATGCACCCACCCATCCATCTACCCACTCACCCACTCACTCACTTATCCATCCACCCATCCATCCACCCACCCATCCATCTACACACCTATCCACCTACCCATCCATCCATCCATCCGTCCGTCCGTCCATCCATCCATCCATCCATCCATCTATCCACCCACTCGCACACTCGCCCACCTACCTATCCATCCATCCATCCATCCATCCATCCATCCATCCATCCATCCATCCACCCACCTGTCTGTCCATCCACCCACCCATCCATCCATCCACCCATCTATCCATCCATCCACCCATTTAATCTTCTCTAGGGGGAACACACCCATGTGCTCTTTAGGAACCTGCTGTTTTCCACTCCACATTCCATTCCATATGAAATGGACACGCTTATATGTTAACATACGTTGTTAATAAATGTTGTTGAACAAAATGACTCAGGTCCCGATTAAATCGGGGTTGGGGGTGGGGTGATGGAACCCACCCCTGAAGTGTTGCTCTGCTGGGCTCTGTCTCCGTGGTGTAGACCTAGACTTGGCCTTGGTGCCTTCAGGTGAAATGAACTATACAGCTCAATGACATTTGCAATGAGATATGTTGGCACTAAGGCAGACTCTTTCGGAAAGATCTTCAAAATCAAAAGTAATAAAATAAAGATTTATGCCATTTTTATAGGTCCCGTCTCCCTGATCAGGCTGGGGTTCCTAGGGAGTTCTCTCGCTTCGCTCTCTCTCTTTGCCGCTCTCCCACCCAGACCTGTGGACAGGGGAGTTCTGGCTTATGTGGCTTCCTCGCCATTCTGAATCAAGGCCCTGGAACGAGAGGACCACATGGCCAAGGATCCCCCTTCTCATCACCCCTGGTGCCCAACATGAAGGGAACCTGTCACCTGCAATCTGCCACCTCCACTCACCTAACCTCACGAGGTTAGACACCTAATGTCTAACAAGTCCAGTGCAGAAATGCCCATCCCCCTGCCCAACTTGCCCACCGAATCATTACTGCTATCATGGTCATCATCCTCTTTTCAGACAGCGCTTGGTGTGCCAGCCTGCCTTTCTCCTCATCTCGCTGGTGACAGACGCTCAGACCAAAAGTCCCCCGTTCGCCCCTGACCACTCTCTCTCACTGCATCTGACCCATCGGTGCCTCAGCGCCTCCGTCTTTAAGAGACATCCAGAATCCAGCCACTTCTCAGCACCTTTGCTGCTGGTCCTTGGGCCAAGTCACCATCATCCCTGGGCAACGGGAAGAGACTCATGCCCCTTCTCATGCATTTAACTTTGCTTGTGGTCGGTCTCCCCAGAAGAGAAATGTGGCCAGAGCAGGGACTGTGGGCTCTCCTGTTCATCTGAAGGAGAGCCTGGCACATATGAAGGGGGATCCAAACAAACCCGGAATTTATTGATTAAAAATGGTGTATTTATTCTTACATGTTTACACTTCAGTCACCTTCAGAGTACTCTCTGTTTGATGCAATATGCCTATTGAGATGCTTTATCCGCTGCTTTTGAACTCATCGATTTTGATGCCTTTTAGCGCTTCTGCCGTTTTTTTGTTTCACGTGGGCAAGCTGTTTCCCTCTGAGAACTTTTTTCGTACGGGGGTACAACAAAAAAAAAGTCACTTGGGGAGAGATGGGGTAAATAGGGAGGGTGGGGAACCGGGGCCATGTCATTTTTGGTCAAAAACTGCTGAAGGTTCAGCACGGTGTGGGCAGGTGCGTTGTCACAGTGGAAGAACCAGTCACCCGTTTGCCACAACTTGGGACGTTTCTTCCACAACGCAGGCTCTCACAGCAATGCTAGCTGGTACACTGACGCCAATGGGTTCCTAGAACACTTACCTAGTGGGCGAAGCCTGTACTATAAGGAGCCCACCCTCTAAAGATAATTCTGGGTTTTTTTGAGTGCCCCTCGTAGAAGATGTTTAACAAACCTGCGTCAAAAGAATGAATGAAATGCCACAAACACTCTCAGAACAGGTGGGAGCCAGAGCTCCCTGTCCTGAGCTGAAAGGAGATTCGATGCTCCCCAGCCCAGTGCTCCGAGCTCCTCTGTAAGTTCCCTCCCCTCTAGCAGGCCAAGGATGCTTGCACACCCGCCCTACCTCTCCATCCATCCATTCGTCCGTCCGTCCGTCCACCCACCTGTCTGTCCATCCACGCACCCATCCACCCATCCACCCTTCTGCCGCTTCTGGAGTCTGGGCACAAGGGCATAACCGCTTCTGTTGGAGATGGTATCAGGGGGTGAGCCTGGTGGAGCTGTGTGCAGGCACGGCTCTATCACCGTGTGACCTACAGCCACGATACCCTTACCTGGAGAGTGGGGACTCGAGTGCTAGCTGTCAGCATGTCTTTTAGGGAATACTGGGGGCCAGGCACTGTGCTAAAGCTCTTACATACAGCTCGTGTCATCTCACATCAACCCAAGGAAACAGACAGCTCTTCATGTGCCAACCTGCCTTCCTTCCTTCTTCCCTCCTTCTCACCAGGCCACCCAACCATCCATCTGTCCACCCAGAGGAACAGGCACTATTGCTACAGCTGCCAGTGTGGGGAAACTGAGGCACAGAGCGCTTAGCTGATCTGATAGCAATCACAGGTGGTGCATGTAGCCCCCATGAACACCGACTTCCTCACACCCAGTACTGAAGAGGGGAGGGCGGAGACTGCCAAGGAGTTCTGTAGAGCCTTCTGTTGGCAGCCCAGCCCTGCTCCTCCCGGGGCCTCCAGCAGAAGCCCCCCTTCCTCATCCTCCAGAGAGGCACCTCCTCCCCTGACCTCCTAGGATGACAGCCTAAACGAGGAGAATGGGGCGTGGAGCCGGAGGTGGGGACCAGGCTCAGGCAGGCTAATCAGGTCACAGGGTGAAATTAAAAGGGAGGTGGAGCGCACCGACCCGTCAGAATTCACGCTCCTTCCTGGCGGCGAGGTGCCCGGGAGGGGAGCTGGGTGCCGGCGCTGACCTCGGAGGCTGGGAGCCGGGGGACAGGATGGCCCCGCGGAGAGCTGTGCGGCTGTCCCTCAAGACGCCCACCCACGCTGTGTGCGTGGCAGGAGTCGAGACACTCGTGGACGTTCGCAGGTGAGACGGTGCAGCACCTGGCTGCAGAGAGCTGGGCTGGAATGGAAGGCAAGCAGTGGGGACCCGGTGGATCAGATGGGTACACTGGGGGAGGCTTCCTGGGCACCAGGTCAGAACATTGGCCTCTAGCCCCTGGATGGAGGGCTGGCCTCAGGATTCTAGCTGAGCCCCGGGGCAGGCTCTGGGGCCTGGGCTCTGCGTTCTGATGTCAGGGTGGCACCTGTATGGGCATCAGAATGGATCGTTGCTCAATTTCTTGTCCATCTCCCGTCTCTCCTAGGTGCAGGGATGTGTGTGGCGGCTTGATTCTTGGAAGTCAGCCAGGGGCAACTAGAGTGATTGGGATCAGGAGGGAGGGGCTAGGGGGTGACTCAAGGAGTTAGAGCAAGAAGAGAACCTGGGACAGGGCCTGGGGCTTGTGTTTGCCCTGAGATGATGGTGATGACAGTGATGAGGTTGATGGTGCTGATGGTGGTGGCGGTGATGGTGGCCATGACGACATCTGGGAGGGCAGCTGGAGTGTCAGCTTCCCTTGTTGACCCAAATCCACCCCCTCCCATCCTGGCTCTGCCCGGACGGGGGCCCAGGGACATGGCCCAGCCTCAGTTTCTCCGCCTGGCCACTAAGGGCGTTGGATCTGGTGACCTCTGAGGGCATTTCCAACTCTGAAGACTGTCTATGGACCAGGTGGGGCTGGACCGCCTGCAGACAGGGGACTCTGGGTGGGAAGTCTCCGTCCAAGAGGGGCTGGGAGTTGGGGGCTGTTACCAGGTGGGTTCTGAGCTCCTATCAACCTCCTGAGTCTCAGTGCCTGTGCTTGCCCCATCTGGTTAATGGATGCCGGGCCCAGCAGCCCACCTGGCCTAAGGTGACCCTCTGCCCCAGAAGCCCTCCCTGCTCTCCTTTTGGGTGTGGCCTGTGCCCTAGTGGTAGGGCTGGGGGGTTGGGGAGGCACTCCTGGGAGCCCGGGCGTGAGGGCTGGTTCCCTCGGGTCTAGGTGGCCAGTGGAGACTCCATTTTTCCAGCTCTGTTAAGATGGCATTGCCAGATTTAGTAAACAGAAATACAGGATGCCCAGCTAAGTTTGAATTTCAGATAAATAGCAGAACCTTTTTTCAGTATCTTGCATGGGACAAGCTTATACTAGAAGAATCTGCTGTTTAGGGGCAACACAAACCCAGTTGGGCGTCCTGTATTTTATCTGGCAATCCCACTCTCACAGAAGAGCAGGAAAGGGGTCGCTAGTAGGCCCCCCACCCTGATTCCAGGCTTCTGCTCTCACTGAGGGCACGGCTGTTTCTGGAAGGTCATTTCAGAGCCTTGGGCTCTATGTGCTGCTGACTAAGGCCAGAGGCATCTCACAGAGAGACCGGGGTTCTGGTCTTAGCTTTGATGTGGCATCAGCCGCATCATTCATCCCCTGGGGCTTCATGTCCTTATCTGAGACCTAGTGAGACTAGCTGAGTCCCCTTTGCAGTCCAGCGTGGAGGGAAAGCGCCCAGACCCTGGAGTCCCATAGACTCGGGTCCTCTGTTCATGGCTGTGTGGCCTTGGGCAAGCTGCCATGCTTCTCTGAGTCTCTGCATCTGAAAAGTGGGGAAACAACGGCATCAACCTCAATGGGTTTGGGAAAGATAAATGAAACCATGCACATACAGGGCCCCTCACACGCCGGTTCCAGCTTCTGTTCTTTCTGTCACGCCTGACAGGGTGGGAGGAGATGAGGGCAGCTCAGGGTGTGAGAGGAGGGAGCACGGGGTGCTGCTGTCTGCAAGCTCCCTTGGGAACCCCAAGTTCCTTAGCATCCTTAGATGTGGGCCTGGCCCAGCCAAGGGGCAACGGGGAGCTGCCTGGGTTATTCACAGTTGCGGCCTCTGGTGGGCTCTGGCAGGCGGAGGCTACTTGGGGGTCCTGAGCGTGCATGTGGGTGATCTCTCACCCAAAGCCCCCTGGGACCCCTCACCCCGGGTTTTGGTGGTGACTAGGGTCACAGCCATGGAGAGTTTCTGGACTCTAAAGCCTGGAACACAGATGTTTATTTTGCAGCAGTAAGGACCAGCTTCCTGCCAGCTGAGGCTGCAGCGGGCAGAGAAAGGGCCCACGGGACTGTCAAGCTGGCAGGGTTCTAAGAGGAGCCTGGAGCTCACTCCAGGAGTTGGGCTGGCCGGCAGGAAGGGGCTTCACTTGACGGCGAGTGATGAACTTGGGACTTCCCACCCCCTCTTTCCAGTGCCTGTCCTTCGTTGAGGTCAGGCCAGGGATTTCTAGCTGGTCTTGCTGGTAGGAGGGGGGTGAACCCCCCGCCAGAGGAGGCTTGCCAAGTCATCTGACTCTGGGTGTGTGGGATAACATCACGGGAAGTGATTAAGGCCCTCAGGGCTGTATGGAGGCATCTTTGTGTTTGGGGTAATTGTGTGCCCCTGGGTGTCCCGATCTGAGGAACCCTTAGGAATCCCTAACTCATCAGGTGCTATAGATCCTACCCCCACACCCTAGGGGCTAGCTTACCACTCTTACGCCACACCCAGGGGCTAGCTCACCACCCTGACCCCACACCCCAGGGACTAGCTCGCTACCCTGACCCCATGTCGCAGGGGCTGGCTCACCACCCTGACCCCACCCCCCAAGGGCTAGCTCACCACCCTGACCCCACACTCCAAGGGCTGGCTTACCACCTTGAGCCCATACCCCAGGGGCTAGCTCATCACCCCCACACCCCAGGGGCTAGCTCACCACCCTGACCCTCACACCCCAGCAGCCTCCCCACCTGGATTCTGACTCCCTGGATCTGGCCAGACTGCCCTGGCTGTCCCTCTTCTTGCCTGGGGACTTGAGGTGGCTCATGCCAATAAAGAAGGGGGCAAGAGACGCGGGGACTCCATCAGTGGTCCAGCATGGCCCTCCCTGTCTGCCCAGAGGCCAGAATCAGAGGTCCAGGCTGGAGGCCATCATGAACATGGATTCTTGGGGATGAGGAAGCCTGGCTGGCCGGGGCAGGGACGTTCTCCTGGACTCTTCCAAAGTCCTCCCCATCCCTGCAAAAGTGTGAACGCAAAATAGTCTCTCCAGACCCGAGAATGGTGGAATTTGAGGGGTACGGGGAAGTGGGAAGCTGTGGGGCCTCTTGGATGCATTTTCTGGGGTCCCCTGTATGGTGGAAATTGAAAATGGCAAAACAGAGTTGTAAAGCGTGTGATACACTCCGTGTGTGCACGGAGCAAATTAATGCTTTTAACTTGCACAGAAGAACAATGACACATAATCGTCCTCCTCATGGGATAATTATGGGGTTGAAGCAACGTTAATTCTCAGTGACCGACAGGTTGTGGGCGCCGAGCTGCGACATCTCCCCCACTCCTGGCTCCATCCTGCTGCTGTGTCGCTGCGGCAGGAGGGACGGCCTTTACTGGGCGGGTTGTGAAGTTTAAGTTTCAGGATTCCTGGAGGTTGTGAGGCTGGGACCGCCCCATTCCCGAGGCCCCCACAGGCCCTGGAGCTGTAGAATCTGGACCTGAAGTGGTGCAGTGAGGTTATTCTCGGGGCATAAGGTGTTGGCATCTGGAAGGGCCTCAGAGGTCACCCCTTAGTTCTACAGATGTCCCTGACTCCCTGGGTCCCAGCTGCCCCCTGCCATCTTGGGACCAGCTGGGAATCTCCCCCTTCTGCTGGCCTCTTAGTCCCTCTGTTTCTGCCTCCTTTCCTTCCTATGGCTTCTTGGATTCTTTTTTTTTTTTCTTCTTCTTCTTTTTTGAGTTGGGATCTCACTCTGTTGCCCAGGCTGGAGTGCAGTAGCATGATCACAGCTCACCAAAGCCTGGACTTCCTGGGCTCAGGTGATCCTCCTGCCTCAGCCTTCGGAGTAGCTGGGGCTACTGGCACACACCATTACACTTGGCTAATTTTTTGATTTATTACAAGATCTTGCTATGTTGCCCATACTGGTCTTGAACTCCTGAGCTCAGGAAATACTCCTGCTTTTGTCCTCCCAAAGTGCTGAGATGACAGGTGTGAGCCACCGCACCTGGCTTGCTTCTTGAATTTTGGTCGTGGAATCTCTCCACATTCTGCATCTCCCCCGCCTCCCCCACCCCGCTTCCCAACCCCCATCCCTCCTCCTCCTCCTCCCCCCTACTCTCCTCCCACCTTCTCCCTTCTCTTCCCAGGTCCCCACCTCCTGCTCACGGAGGGGCTGAGATAAACCAGACACAGGTCCTGTTCTCCTGAGCCTGTGGACCCCAAGAGAAGATCCGAGGTGCAGGGAGTGAACGGGTGGCCGTTTACCTGTGACACTTATAGATGTCCCCTCTCCCCACAAAGCGCTTTCCCTCAGTTTCCCAGAAACTTCACTCTAGTCTCTGGTTTCTAAGCAGCTGCTCAGCTCTGCCAGGCGATGTGAAACGGAAGGGTCTGGCAAATCCACACCCAGTTGGAGCCTGAGGGGAGGTCTGAGTGGCCCTTCCCACCGCTTGGTGCCCACACCTCCCATCAGGAAGTGCCTCGATGGTCTTTCCTCCCATGGCCGCCTGGGCACCAACACTCCTGGGCACCTGCTGGGCTCTGGCACGGGGGATCTCACCTCCCAATCCCACCTGGGAGGAGCTTTCTAGCTGGGAGCTGAACACATTTCAGGATGTGGGTTTTAAGGACCACACACTGGATCCGTGTTCTTGTTCAGGTAGGAAGTGGAGGGTGGTGAAAGAGTCTTTCCATCCACAGGGCCCTTTGGCCTCTCTTGCCCGAGGCTGCCCGCCCCACGCCGCTCAGACGCTCTCTGTTACGGTAGCGACCGTGACGGCAGCCCTGTTTCCAGTGCTCACTGTTCTCCCTCCGTTAAATCTCACAACCAGCCTGTGAGGCCAGGATGTCTGTGACCCCCATCTTGCAGAAAAACTGAAACACAGAGGGGTTAGGAAACTTCTCCAAAGTGACACAACCCACAGGTGCCCGAGCTGGGGTTTGGACCCAGCTCTGCCTGGTTCCAATTTCTGTGAGCTCACCCC